TACTACATGTGATACTTTTTCATAAATTATATAGTGTTACTTTTTAAAAACGTGTTGATTAAATCTACTAAACAGATCTCATGATTACTGATAGGCTGACCAGTTTAAAAATGAAGTTATTAAGATGGTGGAATGAGATGGACATCATTACCCTAAGTACATGTATGAAGATATGAATGGTGAGACTGTGTACAACCAGAGATATGAAAAATTGTGCTCTTTTTGTGTACTATGAATTGAAATGCATTCTGCTATCATATATAACAAATCAGAATAAATTAATAAATTTTTTAAAATGAAGTTTTTCAGGAGGTAGATAATTTAAATGTAGTATGAAAGAATTTCTAGAAGAGCATATTAAGATGGTAACTTTGTGGCCAATTGTGCTAAAGTTTTACTTAGGAGATTAGAGAAGGGTACACTATTAACTCAAAGTTACGTGAAATGGACAGCTTATTCAATTGCAGGAAAAAAAATGTTTCTTCAAATAATACTAGTAATTAAATGTTAAAGAAAATTCAAATTGTAGCTTTTAAAATTTTATATATATAAGTTTTTACTATATATTAAGTGCAGTATCCCTACTGCAAACCTAAACTTTTACCTTCATTTTTCATAGCTTCTCTTAAACCTCTAGTTGTAGGAGATATTAGAGCTGTTATCACATTACTTCCTGCGAATCCTGCTGCTCGGAACAGCACAGTAAACTGATAGGTACAAACGTAGAAATAGGGGCAAAGTTTTGTCTTCAGCAGGTTATACAGAGAAGTAAAGCTCACAGACCTATAAAGCAAAAGAATTTTCCTTAGATATTATTAAAACATTTACTTAAATGTTTAAGGTTTTGTATAATTTGGTCTGACACCTTGCTTAAAACAAATGTTTTAGTTTCTGGTTTGAAATTTTGCAGTTAGGTACAATTTGGTTTTAAAAAACTGGAATTAAGGGGCTGGGGTTGTGGCTCAGAGGTAGAGTGCTTGCCTTGTACACATGAGGCAATGGTTTCAATCCTCAGCTCCACTTAAAATAAGTAAGTAAAATAAAGGTATTGTGTTCATGTTCAACTAAGAAAAATTAAAGAAACCGAAATAACAGGAACTCACGGATAACTTCTTAATACTTTAACAAATAGTGTTTATCACTTAAATGCTACCCTTTTTCTTAACAAAACTTAATTGAGCTGTCATGCATATCTATAATTCCAGAACTTGGGAGACTGAGGCAGGAGGATCTCAAGGCCAGCCTCAACAACTTTGTGATATCCTGTCAAAGAATAAAAAAGGCTGGGGGGTGGGAGTGTAGCTCAGTGACATAGCACTCCTGGGTCCAACCCCTACTACCAGACCAAAAACAAAACAAAACAAAACAAAAAAATAACGTTAATTGATTGATAACTAGCTGTTAAGTTTCTCTTAGCAACTTATGCTAATGAGAAGAGCAGCAGCCACTGATAAGTAACATTAAATAATTATTACTGTCTGTATTTACTGTATGTATGTATATATATATATATATATATATTTTTCATATTTTGATAAAGAGTGATAAGAGAAAAAAGAAGCAAACAGTTTAAATGTTTGGTTATTAATGGTTATTAAAATTCAGGGCAGTGAGATCCTTCTACCAGTCTATATTTCCACAAGGAAAGGAAAATTCACCACTGAATTGCACAAGTTTTGTTTTGAACTAATCTTACCAGTCACTCATTAAAATGTGTTGCAGTGTTTCATCATTTGACCAAGGAATTGTCTTTCCAGCCATTTTTCTATCAGCTCCAATACGAGGGAACAGTGGTAACCAAGACAAGGCCGGGTGGAGCCAATAGATAAGGCTCTGCTGGAAGGCACAACGGAGCTCAGTGGAGAGTTTAGGATCCTAAAATCCAGAAGGGATAGTGCATCATTTTTGACCCATGAGAAGTACAGAATTTTACCGGAGTCAATGTATACCAAACATTTAATCTACAAAGTTTGATTGCTCTTTATGGAAAAGCATTACTGTTACAGGGGCTGAAATATAGTTTATCTTTGGCACAACCTTTCTGGCGAGCAATTAGTCTGCTAAACATATCAGAAGGAACATACAAATAACTCAGATGGCAACATTCTCCTATTTCTACTACCCTTAAAAACAAAAACTGTATTTTCTTTCATAAGCAGTAGAAGTATGTTTGTATAGAGAGCACTATGCTATACATAATCCTTGTACCCCACAGAAACACTTTCAAAAATAGTCAGTGTACACTGGTAATGCATGACAATCCTCCTGATTTATTGAAACAGATATACAAAGTTTTAAGTAATTCTTTTTAACTTAGTTTGAGTTGATGAGCTGCTTCGAAGCAATAAAGGTGTATTTCTCTAGAACCACTCTAGAACTCTAAATTTACAATAAACCATTACCTAGGTAGTGATATCAGTGCATATCTAAAAAGACTATATATTCTATACAAGAAAACCAGTAAAATCCACTGCTCTTGTAACCTAGTCAATTGCTTTTCATTTCCTTTTATTTTCTCTCCAAAAAAAAAAAAAACCTTAGAAAAGAATGGTTTGATGCCTCCACCATTGATTAATTCTCAGGACAGGTTTCTCTATTTAATGGGCTATTACACAATCTCTCAAAAATGTGTATGAAAGCACCATTTGGAAGGAACAAAATTCGCCAACTCTTTTTATCTTTAAATATCAGAAGAAAAACTTAATGGGAAGAAATCTCTCTCATATTTTACAGAAGCATTTTAAAATACTTTATTGGCTACTTTAAAACAAAGTTATTTTATTTCAGAATTACCTTTATACTTTGAGGCAAAGTAACTTCTGTTGCTCTACAATGCTGAACAAGACCTTGAGCCTCCTCTTGTGCTTTCAGATGATCTGCCCAGGTAAAGGGTTGAGAAGAGGTGACAAGGAGTCGGGTTTTAATACTCCAGTCCACAGGTAACTCAGTATTTTCTGAGAATGGAGTATCCAATTCAGAGAATGATATGTGTGAAGCCTTTTAAAAGAAAAAGAAAACACAAAAATCAGTAGAGTTTCAAGAAAAACTCTTTAATCTAAATATTTTATTAACATATCTACAGTCTCTGAATAGCAAAATTATATAAACTGTATACTAAATATCATTAAAAATACACTACACACTGAAAAATTCTGGAAGGTGCTATATTGACCTATTAATAGTAGTTTTCTCTAAGAAACAAAAACGTGTTGTTGGAATGGAACTTGTTTCATTTTTTAGTTTTTACTAAAAAGAACACTTATATAGTACTACAGATGTTGCTATCAAAGTAGAAATCTTCCCAATGTCTGATAAAGTACCTAAAGCCTTTGAAACTCTGGAACTTATGCTAAGCTGCTCTTCCTGCAGGTAACTTTAGGTAGGACCCTTTAAGGCCATATTTCAGAATCATTTTCTGATCTCAAAAATCTACCATTAACCTGTTTTGCGGTCTTTTCAAGTCAACATTATCTACAGTACAAAAATTCTTGTAGATAAGTCATTGTGTGGAGGTAACCGGAGGATTTGTTTTGAAGATTTAGTAAAGGATCAAGTTGAATTAGTAGCTTATATGGAGGGGTTCCTCTGAGTGATAAGCTCAAGAAAGAAGAGTGTTAAAAAACTGATGGGGGTAAAGGGCAACCAACAACTCTCATTCACTATGCCTACTTTAATTCTGGTGACCATTATAGCAATCCTTACTATAACATACCAAGTTCTTTATCTTGGCTGATGCCATCTTTTTAACTCTGGTACAAAGATAATCACTTTCAAGTATCTCTGCAAAACTATTTTTCAAGCAAAATGCTTCTGAGAAGGATGCATTTATAAAAACATATATTCTAATGATATTAAAAAAGTATTACCTGGGATAGTTCGGTAGCTGTTGTTTTTTCAGATAACGTCTCTTCCCATAGCATATCATTTTCTTGATTGGTATCTGAAAACTGAAGATAAGAAAATTGTCCTTTTAAAACTTAAATAATGCTAAAATTTGCTTTAAATGGGTACAGAGGCTCACTTGGCAAACCACCTTCTCAGTAAATGCCAGTGCACACAAATTTATACACACTCCATTCAATCCTATCAGTTTTTTCACTTTGGGTCTGAACTTTAACATTAAAATTAATAGGGAAAAAGGCCAGTTTTGTGTATTTAATAATTGACATACAAACTTTAAGCTAAAAGACCCAAAAGGCTTCAGATTAAGACAAATTCTCGTGAATTCTGAACAGATTTATCCTCACTATTCCTCCATCCCGCGTAGTTTTGTGTCCGAGAGAAGCACGGTGCCGTCCAAGCTGCCCTCCAGGACGGGTTCTAAGGCTTTCTTGCGCTCTCTCGCAGTTTACGTCCACGCTCGAGCAGAGGCGCCGCACATGGGGCAGCCTCCACAAACCCCGTCTTTCAAGAGCATCGGCCCCCAAGGCTCAGAGCACCCTCAGGCCACAGGCGACAGAAACTCTTCGCGCCCATTTCTCTGCCCCGAACGTTAGAACTTCCCATCCCTAATTCACAGCTGGCCCTCCACAAAAGATGACAGCCCCTCGCCTGGCAGGCACAGAGACACTCACCGAGCTCGGCGCCTCCGGTTGGCCGCGGGGCAGCCCGTCCGAGGCCTCCGCGGCGACCCGCAGCCGGTTGTCCAGGCGGGCGAAAGGGTTCCTGCGGGCCGCGGTCGGACCGCCGATTCTGCCGGCAGCGGCCGGGAAGGGGCGGAGCAGCAGCCCTGCCGCCAAGGCGGCGCGGCGAGGCGTCGGCTCCCGCAGCTCGAGGGGGCTGGAGGCGGCGGCCTTTTGGCTCCGGGACCTTCTCCTTCGGAGCCGCACTATCTCCGGCGGCCTTTTGAAGCTGGGCGAGTAGCCGGGTACCGAAAGGGCCATGACGCGAAGCGGCTCAGGCCGACCGACCGCCCAGCAAGCACTTCCCGCGCGCCGCGGCCCCGCCCCCGACGTGGCCCCGCCCCCGCGCGCCGCCGCGGGACGTGCGCGGCAGGCAGGCCTCCCGCGAGGTCCCGCCCCCGGCTGCGTTCCTCAGGCCGCTCTCGCCAGGTTCTGGGCTGTGGTCCTGCCGTGAGAAGAGGCGACTGCGGGCAGCACTTGGCCCAGGGCAGGTGTACACTACACCACTGGGCATCGAAATGGCTGAACGCTACTCAAGTCTGCAATAGGGAAGTCATCACCAGGGTAGAGGTCTGGGCTCTGGGGCTGCTGATGGGCTGCTGTGTCCATAGAGGTGGTGACAGGGCCAGCGCCTACCCATGCCCTCCTTCCCCAACAGAGAACTCAGAAAACAGCACACTTCAAGCTCAGTACCCTTTTCCCAAGGCCAGGCAGTCCCAGCCCTTCACGCAAATTCTCCACAGCTCCCACAGGACAAGTTCCTGTGATCCTTGTTCCTGAAGAAACTCGAAATGATTGAATAATTCAAAACAAAATTTAAGTGTATATGAGTTAGATACTTTTGAGACCTGAAAATATATTCAAAAACTTGAATTTTGACAGCACAGAAAGGCTTGTTAAGTTGTTTAAAATGGAAATAATACATAATTAATAGCATTACTTTCACAGTATAACAAGGCCTGTAACAGACTCAGTAGAATGGTGTGGATTTTGCTGAAAGCAGAAGTTTTTCCCATTAGAAGAATTTTATAGGAGAGGAAAATGTGTGGGAAAAAAAAACAACAACTAAAGATAGCTTTCAGAGTACCCCCTTCAAATGTTATAGAATTATCTTGGATCATCTGCACAATAAATTGGAAAATATTTTTCAAATATGTCAAATAACCAAACATCTTGTGAGCCAGAAAACATGCTTAAACACTGAACAACTTGCTTTTATCTTCCTTGATTTTTCCCAATTTCCAAGGAAAACTCTGGCTTCAAATACTGTGATGGATGGTTCATCCAGCTGAGGTCTGAGAAAGAAGAAGATTAAAATTGAACAACTTGCTTTTTTCTTCCTTGATTTTTCTGAACAACTTCCATGGAAACTTTTGCCTCGTACAGTGGAATAGGTTCATCCAACTGAGGTCTGGAGAGAAAAATTATTACACACGTCACAAATGTTCAGAACACACTGGACAATAGTTGACAGTTGCCATAGTTTAGCTATATTACTTTAAAATAGATCAAACTTGTCCATTAGTATTCCACTGTTAAAATTGGTTAAATTTTCAAGGGGAAAAATACCTTCTTTATCCATTCTAAGTGGTAAACTGATTCAACTTAAACATATTGTATTTTTCCCTCTTTTCAAGCTATGGATTATTTGGGAGGGGTGATGAGAAAATGCAAAGAGCGAAGTACAGAAAGGAGCAGAAGGCAGGAAACTCATAGGACATTTCTATCTTCGGGAAAACTTACTGATATAACACCAGATATACTTTGAGAAATATTAAGTGGTAAATGTTTATCTAAACTAAATAAGATATGGAGGCAACAGGTATACTGCAAAAGCTGAAACAAAAACATTATCTCCTGGGGAATAGAAAAATAAAAATGATTTGGCACTTTAGCATACCTAAAAACACCAGCTGATAACTTCTCCATCACATCTTTTAAAATGCGTAGCTGGAAGGATTGTTAAGGTGGCAACATTAAAGAGAAAGGATTAAAAACATTCAATAGGCTGAAGAAACTAGGCAGGTCAGTTCTTTTTCAAGTTTTGCACTCTCAGAAATTCAAAATGTTGTTACAGAAATTCTGTAAGCTGTCAAGTTTACCTGTAAAACAGGAATGATTTGAGAGAGTTGGTATTACTAAGTCTAAATTTCTAAGTATAGGTGGGAAGAGCAGCAAGCCTAAGGGATGACCACTTTTATACCAATGAATGAAGGCAGAATGATGTATTTAGCACTTACTTTTCACATCTCTTATGTCTGGTTGGTAACAGACCAAAGTATGTGTGTGTGATATATGTCACTAACAGAATCAAAATTATGTAAAATGAAAAAATCTTTGTTGGGAACTTAAGTGAAATCATAATATTGAGATCAAAACTATGTGATTGCTAATACTGAAGAATTATTTAAGGCATAGAATCAAAAAGCTGGAAGGAGTTGTCTATGTTAAATCAAGCAACAACAAGCTTATGTGAAGTGATTGAGGGGCCTCTGTACAAGTGAGAACTAAAGACTGACTCAGGACTTTAGAAAACATAAATTAGAAAATATGATCATAAGTCCTTTTAAAAGAGGAATGACCYAAAGAACATTAATTCACATATTCACATCCCTGCAAATGTCTTTATACTTCTGTTTCTGAAATTGCTGGGTGCGGTGGCTCATGTCTGTAATCCCAGAGATTCAGGATGCTGAGGCAGGAGGATCAGAAGTTCGAAGCCAACCTGGGCAATTTAGCAAGGCCTTGTCTCAAAAAAAAACAGTCTGCAGGATGTAGTTCAGTGATAGAGTGTCCCTGGATACAATATCCAGTACTACCAAACAAACAAACGAAAAATAAATTGGTGTGTGTGTGCACGCGTGCGTGTGCGTGTATATATATATATACACACACACACATATAGATGCCCTATGACTTATGATGGGATTTTGTCCCAATAAATCCACTCTAATCTAAACATATCATAAATCAAAAGTACATTTAATAATAACCTACCAAATATCCTGTTTAGCAACACAGTATACTGCATAGTATTGGTTGTTTCTCCTCATGATCTTGCAGCTGACTGGAAGATACATCTTGTTGTTGCTGCTGCCCAGCATTGCAAGAAAATGCAGTGTATTGTACTGCATATGGCTAGCCCAGGAAAAGGTAAAAATTCAAAGGGCTAGGGCTGGGGCTCAGTGGTAGAGCGCCTGCCTTGCACAAGTGAGGCACTGGGTTCGATCCTCGGCACCACATAAAAACAAACGAAATGGAAGTATTGTGTCCATCTACAACTAAAAAATAAATAAATATTTTAAAAAATTCAAAGTACAGGACTGGGGTTGTAGCTCAGTAGTAGAGTGCTTGCCTAGCATGTGTGTAAAGCACTAGGTTCCATTCTCAGCACCACATATAAATAAGTAAATAAATAAATAAGGCCCATTGACAACTAAAAAATTTTTAAAAAATTCAAAGTATGTTTTCTATTGAATGTATATTGCTTTGGCAAAACCCATAAAGTAAAAAAATCTTAAGATGAACCATCATTGAGTTGGAGACGGTCTGTATAGAGCATATATTTTTGATTTTGGAAAATTTAACATTATTTCATATAAACATGTCATATTTCAACCTGATCCAGGGATTTGCAAATAAGTTAAAATGTTCTCATCATAGCTAGAAGTGGTTTGAGATAATTAACACAGGAAAAACAGTCAACTTTGATTCTCACATGTAAGATTTAAAACATGCTAACTAATGTTATTTGCTTTTTGGGGATGGGTACTAGGGATTGAACCCATGAAGTCACATCTCCTACCTTTTTCATATATTTTTTGAGACAAGGTCTTCATAAGTTGCTTAAGACCTCCCTAAGTTGCTGGGGCTGACTTTTGAATTTGTGATCCTCCTGCCTCAGCTTCCCTAGCCATTAGATTAGGTGGATGGCACCATGCCCAGCTACTATTTGTAATAGTTATATAATATTCTCTATTGTTCATATCTCATGTTATCCTAGATAATTGTGACCCTGGACGCAATTTTTAAAATAAGGAAATAAAAAATTTCTTAGAAAAATATTTAATCAAAATATTTTAGACTACTATAATTACTATAGGAAAGAGTTCTGAAATCTCCTTAACATGCAACACATTCAGTATCCTTATTACACATTATTGTTTTTTCTTTTTTGTTTGGTGTACTGAGATTGAATCAGGCCCTGCACATGCTAGGCAGGTTCTCTACCACTGATCTATACCCTAACCCTAATATTACTATTTTAAACCTTTGAAATAAATCTTTCATTACTCCTAGAAGGGGCTGACCTCTATACACATCGCACACATATAACTATGCACATTTGACAAAGGTAATGTATGGTGTTCAGTGGAGACAAATGTAAAGGTATGTAAATCTCTTCACACAAAAGTTATCATATAATGAAGATCTTTTTATCCAATACATTGAAACTTATTAAGTACAACTGTATATAAAATGGTGATTTTTGAAATAAAAGCAATTCTTAAGAGAAGTTGACTCTCCTTGAGAGAATTTTGGACTTTTCTTTTTGGAATTGCTTTCACCTTCCTTCTCACAGGAAAACTTCTCATTACTTTCACCAAAACTGGAATGATTTGACTTCATTCACTAGATTTGTCTCTAATGACTTTTTGTTTTGGTGGTACAAGGGATTGAACCCAGGTGCACATTGACCTACATTCTTCGCCTTTTTTTTTTTTTTTTTTGAGACAGGGTCTCATTAAATTCCTGAGGTTGGCCTCAAACTTGCAATCCTACCTTAGCTTCCAGAGTAGTTGAGATTACAGGCATGCATCACCATAACCAACTGAATGATTTCTATTTTTAAAAATCCAGATGCAGCCTCATGTGATGAAGATTTCTCAGCACTGATATTATAAAATACCAACTGTTTAGATAAGTACTGTGAATTTTTTGTGTGCAATGATACCATCATAAAGGTAAGGTGTACACCTCTCAAGGCGACATGTGTAATGTCAGGTTAAAGAGAAAACCAAACCATCTTCCACATGATATTATGGTTTATTTCTGACCCTGAAAGGAGGGAGGCTTTCTGGGTGTGATTTTTTTTTTTTTTTTTTAATGGTGCTGGGGATTGAACCCAGGGCCTTGTGCTTATGAGCCAAGCACTCTACCAACTGAGCTATATCCCCAGCCCTCTGGGTGTGATTCTTTTCTGCCACTTGATAGTTGTGTACTTGCACATACACTAACCTCTCTGTCCTTCTTCAACTGTGAAACAGAGATAATAATACTTAAATCTCATGGGTTGTTTTAACATTTAAACAAATACCTGCAAGACACTTGGAACACTGTTTGGCATACTCAAGGAGAATTAACAGATAATTATTTTTCTTATTATCATATGAAAGTAGAGTTCAAAGTAAATTTCAAGCCTAAAACAAGTCAGTAGAAGAAAAGGATATAAAGATATTTTCCCTGTTGTACATTTGACAAATTCCAAATTTCATCATTAAGGAAAGCCACCGTTGCTCCTTTGAGGAAAAGGCAATGGCTATCTGGAGGATCCAACTTGACAGAATAAATAAAGACCAATCAATTACTGTGAGCCTAAGAGCAGAAGGATGATTAGTAGCATAGCTAGAAAAAAATTAAATAATGTCCAAATTACAAAAACAGTAAACTTTAATAATACGTAAACTATAATGTTGGTGTAATGCTTTATTTTCTATTTTATGGCTCCAAATGATGAAGACACAGCAAGGTGTATAGGTTAGATGAAGGACCAATCTAGAATCCTAGTACTGAAGTGGTTGAGGTATTACCAGTCACCTTCATAAGAACAGTAAAAAGTCAAGATTGGCATATGAGAATTATGGTATTGGCATATCACCCATTACATGTTAATTTGAATTCTACAGAAAAACATTTGGAAGATAACTTATTGATACATTTAAACAGTACTTCCAATTTAAATAATTAGGAAGTTGTATAATTTTATACAGAAATATTTTAAGTATATGTCAGTGATGTTTGTTACTAAGAAAAGAGTAGTTTTTAATTTTTTTAAAAATTATTTTGGGGATTGAACCCAAAGGCAATTTACCACTGAGTTACATCCCTAGCACTTGTATTTTTTATTGAAAACAGGGTTTTGCTAAGTTGCTTAGTGCCTAAATTGCTGAGGCTGTCCTTGAACCTGTGATCATCCTGCCTCAGCCTCCTAAGTTACTGTGATTACAGGCATGTGCCACTGTGCCCAGAAATCAAGTTTTTTTCTGGAGTGGTGGGGATTGAACCTAGGGCCTTAAGCATGCAAGGCAAGCACTCTACCACTGAACTACATCCTCAGTCCTGAAATACAATTTAAAATTCAGAACTCACTACTTTCAAATAACTAAATAAAATTATAATTCATTCTAACTGAAGAATTCTCCTACTAGGCATTATTTTAACATTTTGGCCAACATGTATTTAACATAAAAAACAAACTACATTTCTTTAAACATAGGGTATAATTCAGAATTTGTATTAATTTAGCCATACCTTGCCTCAAACAAGATTTAGGCATTATTCTTTTTAATTACATTCCTTTGTTCTAACAGTAATGCTTTATTGTTTCTGATAATACCTGAAGGCTTTCTTCTGTTGTTATCCAATGGCCTCCAACACCAAGAAGCGTGATGATATCATGTTTATGCGGTAGTAGTTGTAATTTTACAGCTGGTTCATCATCTTTACTATATAATCTCACTTGTAAATGAATATATAGAGAGAGAAAAGAGACATTTTATATTAATCTGACAAAAACTTGTTGTTCAAAAAGTTTTACTTTTTAATATGGTAATGTGGAGGCATTTTTCCTAGAACAAGGCAACACACAGTACATTCAGATACTTTAAAATATACCTTTCATATTGAACATATTTATAAGGTTTATTCTATATTTCATTATAAATGAAATAGTATGTTTGCATTTGGAAACTAAGGTAATATGTAACATAATACATAGTTAAGTCTTGTAATGAATTAATTATAACAATGATGGCTTAAAACAGTGGGATGAGCTGCTTTCTAATTAAAGCATTCAGATTCAAAATAGTCATATGAGTTACTTGCAAATCTTGAAATTTAAATCTTGAAAATGGTTTCAGAAAAACAAAACCCACACATGATGGCCAAGGTGGTATTCACAACGAGGCACTGGGTTCAATTCTTAGCACCATATATTATATATATAAAAAAAGTCCATTGACAATTAAAAAAATTTAAAAATATATATACATATATATGTGTGTATATATATACAGAAGTGTACAGATTACGTGTTGAATAGATATTGGTTAAACTAAGAAAGTTCAAGAAGAGAGAAAACTTAAGAAATTTCTATATGTTTTCCAATAGACACCACAGAAATCAACCATCCAAATAGAGGGCAGCCACACATAGCAGAAATGACTGCAGACAGACATCTGGATAATAATGTGTACTATCTGGGACCAAATGAGATCACAGAAATAGGTTTCTTACAGAGATTTGTCTTCTGTTACTTAAACTTCAAGTCTATCCTTTCAGATACACAGTGATTACAATGGAATAATATGAGGAAACTCCAATTTATTTTACTTTATTTTTAAAAGTATTTTTTTTTTTAGTGGTAGATGGACAAATATCTTTATTTATTTATTCATTTTTAAGTGGTGCTGAGGATCAAATCCAGGGCCTCACACCTGTGAGGCAAGCACTCTATCACTGAGCTATAGTTCCAGTCCAGGAAGCTCCAATTTAAACAGACAAGTCTTTAGTTTAAAAAAAAAAAAAAAAAAAAAAAGGCCTGGAATTAAACATCCAATTTAATAAATGCATTAACAATTATTCCCTGTTTTTTTTTTTTTAATTTTCCCCTGAAATTCACCAAACTGAAAAAAACTAAATAAGCTACTGATTTTGTAGGTACCAACCTCCAGCATCTAGAACAATATCTACTCCCAGGCCTCCTGTTTCTTCCAAACAGCTTTCAGCAACATCAACCTTCCCATTGGATACATCAATCACTCGGGCTGTAAAGGACAGGAAATCAGGCAATTGTATTATTCTTTTTTTTTTTAATTTTATTTTTTTAAATTTTATTTATTAGTTGTTCAAAACATTTTTTTATTATTATTAGTTGTTCAAAACAAATTGTATTATTCTGTATGTGATCAACACAAGCCAATCAGGGGGAGAAAAAAAATCTATTTTCTGAAATGAGTTAAGCAGTTTAATTATTAAATATTAAATTTAAAGGGGAAAATTATATTTCAATAAAACATTTTTCCATTGAGCCTAATTTTGATAAGGTTCAATTCTAAATGAAGGGACTGATAAATTCAGTAAAAGAAAAATATGAGCATTTTGTGGATAAAGTAGTCCAAGGATGGTCTGTGGATGCAGAAGATTGCTCTCAATAGCTTAGTTTATGTTACTAGAACTGAGAATCTGAAAACACAGAGATATATATGTATCATTCATATTACAATGTGAATTGGAAGAGCAAGCAGTTTCTTAAATATGTTTAGATTTATTCATTTTTAAAGTTCAGTAATACAAAAGAATAGTTGTCAACATGGTACTTATCTACTATAAGCTGTTTTATCCTTTCTCAGTCACAGAACCCCTCCCCTTGCTACCCAAAATGGAGAAAAGTCCTGAAGGTAAGGAAAAGGAACATGATTATTTTTATCTGTTAGTGAAAATTAAACTAATCTTAACTGGTTACTTTATTTATTTATTTTTTGTTAAATTTGGGACTTCTTTTTTTTAAGAGAGAGAGAGAGAGAGAGAGAGAGAGAGAGAGAGAGAGAGAGAGAGAGAATTTTTTTAATATTTATTTTTTAGTTCTAGGTGGACACAACATCTTTGTATGTGGTGCTGAGGATCGAACCCGGGCCACACGCACGCCTGCCAGGCGAGCGCGCTACCACTTGAACCACATCCCCAGCCCTTAACTGGTTACTTTAAAAGTATTATATTAGTAGAAAAAATAATTATAGGGCTGGGGTTATGGCTCAGTGGTAGAGTGCTCACTTAGCATGTGCAAGGCCCTGGTTTTAATCCTCAGCACTACATAAAAAGAAATAAGTAAAATAAAGATATTAAAAAAAGAAAAAATAATTATATTTCTATATAATAGAACAATCAGAACTTGAACTAGCAAACAAGGAAATGTTTATATTGCAGTTTTAAATTTTTTATTTCTATTTTTTGTGGTACTTTGGATTGAATCCAGGACTTGGTGCATGCCAGGCAAATGCTCTACCCTGAGCAACATCCCAGACCCACCTATAAATATTTTCAACACCTTGTTGAAGAGAATTACTCTCAGAGATGTTCAGATTAGAGGAACAGTAATCTGAGATTTGGGGAATGGGATAGAAGACATAAGGGAAAGATGACTGAAATAATCTCGGAAGGGTAGAATTAACCAATAAGAAACCTTTCCCTTCAATAATACCTTTTGCTTTCTTTCTACATTCTATTTTCTATTTCCTTCCTTCCATTTTTTTTTTGTAGTGTCGAGAGTGAAGCTAGGCTTTCAGGCATGCTTGGCAAGAGATCTAACACTGAGCTACATCCCCAGTCTTCCATTAAACTTTTGAATCTATTCTTCTTCCTCTTCTCCTTCAACCCCTGTATTGCCTCCCTTTCATTTCTTGGTTATCTCTGCAGGATGCATAATAGAACAATGGAAATAACATGGGTTCTACTGTTAGATCAGGCATCAAAACCCATTCCAGTCTCTTTGTCTAATTGTATAACTTGCAGAAACTAGTTAAATTCTGAGAAGCTACTTCATGGTCATCCACCACAAGGCTGTTGAGAACTTAAGGAGGAAATGTCCACATTATTCAATGAACATTACTTTCCTTCCTGCCTCCCTTCACTTATACTCTGTTCATCCTCTTTGCTCTTTTTCTGTCAGTTTCTCTGTTCCTATTTTCTTCCTCTCCATACTCACTGCTGTTTGAATAGGTTCAACTTTTTAATTTTTATTTATTTTTTAGGTTCAACTTTTGTAAGAGCTCACAGTCTCCACCATGTCCTGCTCACCTTAAACTATATCTGACTTGTGTTTCTATGTGCATGGATCATTTGTCTCACAGAAAATAAACAACTTTAAGGACACATGATGGGGTAAAAGAGGTTGAGAAACACAGAATGGTGCAAAATATATTGATTTATTGACTGAAACCAAAGAAACAACAGGTATTTCTTAAGTGTGTCAAAGTTCACTTAATAATGCAAACTTGGGTAAGTTGGTAAGACAAAAATTTAAAAAAATTGAAAGATGTAAGTTTAAAATTTTTAAATAATTAAAGATATTACTTAAGTAAATTTGGAATCAGCACAAATTATTTTTTAGCTGTTAGTGCATTTTAAAATTGACTTTCATTTGTGATTCTGTACTTCATTTTATCAGTGCAGTTTTTATTTCCCTGAAAAACTTCATGTTCTAAAATCTGTGCTGAGTAATGTTACCCACCTATATAAGACCTAAGTCTTTCAAGGCACTGCTTGTCTTCTAGGCTGTATGCTGTTGAAATCACTTTGGCTCCTCTGTGGTGTGCTAACTGAATGGCTATTGTGCCAAATGCCTGTGTGAAAACACATACATGATGGGTTAACAAATACAGGGTACAGGCCATATCCAATCTATTTATGCTATACAAAATGTATAGCATATATATTGTATACATATATAGCATACACACACACATGTATATATGTACATGTACATACACTTTTTTTGGTACTAGGAATTGAACCCAGGGTACTTTGCATTGAGCCATATTAACAGCCCTTTTTATTTTTGAGATAGGGTCTTGCTGAGTAGCTGAAGCTGGCCTTGAATCTGTGATCTTCCTATCTCAGTACCCCAAGTTACTGGGATTACAGGCATGCACCACTGCACCTGGCTTAAAACATAAATAAACAAATAAAAATTAAAAAGGGCTGGGGATGTAGCCCCAAGGTAGACTGCTCCTGAGTTCTTCCTAGGGAAACAAAAAACAAAATACCCCAAAACAAAAAATGTTATAATAAAAAGGAAAAAAGCAAATAAGATTAGTAGGCTAAACATCTGATTGACTTCTTCAGAAAGGGGAGTAGAAAGGCTGCATGAATCACATGCTCAGGTCTGACCACTGCACATCATTTCTAGGATGGAAGGCCACATTCAGAAATGTGACCATGGAAAGAGAAAAGGAGGCTGTCAGGGCATTATTGAAGTACCTGCAGGAATCTAGCTACCTCTCTTTGGAGACTGGAGCACTTTAAACACTCCATCTGTATTTGGACCTGTGAGGTGAGCACAGGGAAACACTACTACCCTGATATTGGACATCAGGCTGAAGCCAATGCTGAAGATAGCTTTGCCTTTTTTCCAGAGAAAAGGAGAGGAAAATGATTTTCATCAACAGCCAAATAGAAAACTATAGATTCATCTCAAGTTTTGCAACCATTTTAGAATATAATATTTTACATATTCTATATTTTTGGTACTGGGAATTAAACCCAGGGGTGCTTAACCATTGAGCCACATCCCCAGCTCTTTTTGAGATAGGGTTTCTCTAAGTTACTTAAGGTCTCACTAAATTGCTCAGGCTGGCCTCAAACTTGTGATCCTCCTGCCTCAGCCTCCAGAATCATTGGGATTACACGTGTGCCACCAAGACCAGCTATTTTTTTTTCAGTTGTAGATGGATACAATATCTTTACTTATTTATTTTTATGTGGTGCTGAGGATCAAACCCTGTGCCTCACACATGCAAGGCAAATGCTCTACCACTGAGCTACAACCCCAGCCCAAGACCAGCTATTTTACATAATCTTTTAGTGTCTATTATTATGATAGTCTGTTTTTGATGATATATGGAATACATTTAAATCAGTTTATTTTGACACCAAAACTTTATTAACGTAAGTGTAAGTTTTGGTGATATGATAGATACAAAACCAGTAGGAATTCCAGACTTTGTATAACAGGAATGAAGAAAAATGGCTTGGCTGGACATACAGCTCAGTGGTAGAGAGCTTACTGCACAAGGCCCTGAGTTCCATCCCCAGCATGGGGTGGGGTGGGGGGAGACTTGTCTGCTTTTTTTTTGTAGTTCTGGGGATGAAACCCAGGGCCCTGTACATGCAAGGAAAGCACTATACCAACTGAGCTATGTCCCCAGCCCCTTTGTCTGCTTTTTAATGTACTGGTAAGTTTAAAATAATTAGAAACTAATTACACTAAATCTAACTTTTGCCTCCTATTGATAAAAGCAGTATATGGTAACAAAATGGGAGGCTGGTAAGAAATCTCAGTGGTCAAAGGCCCACGAATTCAATCCCTGGTACTCCCCGCGTCCCCCCAAAAGAAATCTGTTATTAATCTATTGGCAAAGAATTCTATTAGCTTGTTTCTAAATTTCCTAAGTCAACTTTAATCTTTTTCTTAAGGAAAACAAAACAAAACAAAACACTGACACTTACACTTGCTCCATCCATTATCAGCACGGATTTTCCAGGAGAGAGATGAGAAAGATAATGCAGGGCTGTATAAGCTCGCACTCCATCCCGAATAGCTCCAGCAGCTTCTGTCCACGTAACCTTTTCTGGTTTATGAACTATCACAAGGAATAAGAGGACACGATCCATTAGCAAGTCCTATTCGTACTGCCTTCTAGATCTATTTCTTTCTATCTCTTCAACCATGGACCATGGCCTTGGTCCAAGCCCCTGCTCCTGTTACTCTTTCCCCAACATTATGGTTTCCTTGTTTCCCTTCTTGCCCACGTATAATCCACTCTTAAGATAGGCATAAAGCACAGCTGCATTAATAAATGAAAAGCAAAAGGTAAATAAGCACCATCCTACTAGAGAAACACTGCATAAAGATCATTCCAACAATCTCTCTTTCCCCACCAGAGGTCACCATTCTAACTCAATTTGGGATTCACCTTCATAGCTTATCACTCAAGTATGCAATCCTAAATCATCATTCAGTTTTGCTTGGTTTTGAACTTTTATCTAAATAGAAGTATTCTTTGCTCTCTTGCCTTTCATGTTGAACATTATGTTTTTGGGAGACACCTTTTCTGTGCCCTTTCACTTGGGAGGTTGTGGTACTTTGGTTTTTGTTGTTTTATGGTAGTCAAATGTGTGCAAACACCTTTGGTTATCTATTCTCCAACCAATGCACATTTGTGTTGTTTCCAGTTGTATCAGTGACAATGCTGCTAAGAATGTTCTCCTATAAAGGACATTGTTACACTATGCATGGTTTTCACTAGGATATTTACATTGGAGTGGAAATCCCAGGTCCTAGACCATATTACCTTTGACTTAGTTATACTTTTAAGTGTGCTTGCATAAATTTACTCCCTCACAGCACTGTCTTTTTGCTGTAAACTCTTCTATCAGATTTTTACATTTTTGCCAATTGTGTATAATGGTTTCTAACTATGATTTAAATTTGATTTTTTTTTTTTGACTACTGAAAAGGTTGATCCTCTGTCTACATTTGCTGGCCTTTTGAAATTCTTTTTATGAAGTGACTGTCTTTGTCAAATTTTCTATCATTCTGTCTTTTTAAAAATTTATTGACTCATAGGAATTCTTAGAGTCATTTGTGCTGTAAGTATTACAAGTTGAGTCATTTGTCTATTTATGTATTATAAATATTCCAAGTGAATATTCCTTATTTGCAATACTTGGAGCCAAAAGTGTTTTGGATTTTGGAATATGTTCTTGTATGTAGTGAGTTAATATTAAGGATGGAAACTAAGTCTAAACATGAAATTCATTTATGTTTCACATATACCTTATACACATAGCCTGAAGGTAATTTCATAAAGTACTTTTAGTGTGTCTTTGTTTTGTCTGCAACCTGTCACATGAGGTTGGGTGCAGAATTTTTCACTTGTGGCATCATGTCAGTACTCAAAAAAATCCAGATCTTGGAGCATTTTGGATTTCAGATTATTGGATGCTCAACCTGTATTTCAACCTTGGGGGTTTTCTTGCGAATCACTTTAGTGGTATCTTTGAAAATAGAAGTATTGGAATAACATTCTAACATTTCTATGATTAAATTTATCAATGGCTTTCATTATACTTGGAAAAAAATGCAAACTCCTGATATAGTTAAAAAAGTTGTGTATGATCTGATCATTAAGCTGTTTCTTTATATGTTTCACTGTTTTTGTGTTCATGTTGTAAACTGAATATTATTTTTTCATACTACAAGCAATCCTTTCTAATTTTAATGCACTTTTTATGTCTTCACTAGCTCTTTCAAATCTGTTTCCTCTAAGGGCAATAGATTCAGATGGACAAGACACAGGGAAAGCACACATCACTGCACTAGCGACAGAATACTGCCCTCTAGTGGAGTATTCAAGCATATGTTGAAAATGTTCAGGGAATGAAAATAGCCAGAACACACTAAGTATACATATGATAGCACATAAAGTACTTTATTTCTTATTACACTCTTTAAGATAGGTATAATATTAAAATGTATGTATTTTGGTTTTCTCCTGTGTTCCTGGATCATAACTCCCATTGCCCTTGTTATTTCCTATATGACCAGTACAATAAGCATATCTTGTATTTGAGTTTTTGTCTTTGGTTCCTGAAGCAGCTTCAGAACAATTCAGTTTAGTAAAAGCCAATTTTTTATAATATTGGGGTGCTTTAGCTTTAGAAAGCAAAGTCTCTGTCTCTCTTTCTCTCTGACCTTCTCTTCCCTACCTTTCCCGTACTCTCTGTTCTCTCCAAGGCAGAAAACTAGCAATCTTTTCCCCTAAGGTAAGTCAGAGAAACCAAAATTATGTTCTCTTATCTTTCTATCTTGGAGCTGGACTGGCAATAAAGAACTTCTGTGACACATCTAGTCTGACAGCAGATATTAAGGCTTCAATTTCAGAAAGGGTCCTGCCCCACACCCAAGACGAAGGAATGTTGCAAAGAAAGGCTAGGAAGATTTGGAAGAGACAGGCCTTGTTGGGTTTTTCTACTAAATCTATTAATATTAGGTAATGTCCTTTTTGTCCAATCTCATTTATACATGGTTGTCCATGCTTCAATCATACCCATGTGATGAAGTCCTCATAAAAAACTTAAATGGACAGGGGTTGAAGAGAGAAATCTAGATAGCTGAACATGTAACAGCTTGCAGGAAGGTGAACAAGAACTTATCCATGTGTTGGGAGGGTGGACAGCCCAATTCAACAGGTACAGAAGCTCCTAGACCTTGCTCTATGTATGTCTTCATTTGGTTCAATAAATAATAAATAATACCCTTCAAAATATCCTTTATAATAAATTGACAAACATATTTCTGCAAACCATTCTACTGAATTAATCAACCCTAAAGTTGGAACCCCAATTTGTTGCTGTCTGGTCAGAAGTTCTGAAGCCCACAACTATGACCAGTATCTAAAAAGAGGACAGTCTTGTGGGACTCAATCTCTGGGATCTGATACTATCTCCAGATGTCGGCTGTAGAATTGATTGCTCTAACATTTTGAGACCATACTAGAAGTGATCTGTATTATGGGGTATATAGTACAAGAAATTGAGTTTGTGTTTGTTTTTTCCACCCAATAGCTATTCTCTTAATTTTCTTGATTAAGAAATGGGGTTCAGGGTAACTAAGTTGTTCAAGGCCCACATAGATAGTAAGATATGACTCTAAAGCACATCTACTCTAACAATTCATGCTCAATCTACAGTTTACCTATATGGCCTTTCTTTTGGAACACTTCCCATTGTAAGAACTGTGACTACCATATTTTATCAAAATATCAGTCATGTAATCCTTAAAAAAATACTAAAAGACAATGTTGCCAAATTTAAAGATCCTAAAATTACAAGGTTAAATGTGGGTTAATGTCAAGATTCTTGCTTTTCTGTTAGTCAACAGGTACTTATTATGTTACAAAAAATAAACAAGAGTCATGTGCAGATTAATAATAAAGTATATCAGTACTGAGAAAATTATAATTTCACTTCTTTCTTGTTTATGACCAAAGTGCTAACAGTGCTGCAAATGTGTGCCAAATTTTTGTTTTATTTGTTTTGGTAGTGAAGGTTGAACCCGGGGATACTTTGCTCCTGAGCTTTTTAATTTTTTTTTTGTTTAAATTTTGAGACAGGGTCTCACTAAGTTGCTTAGGGCCTTACTAAGTTGTTGAGGCTGGCCTTGAACTTGAGATCCTCCTGTTTCAGCCTCCTGAATTGCTGGGAGTACAAACATGTGTCAATGTTGCCAAATTTAGAATGAAAAATAATTTTTATGTTTGACAGAATGACTTACGAACTAAAAGTAGAAAAGAACTGGAAGAATTATTCAATTTTAATCTCTAGCATTAATATTGTACAAAATAAGATTAACAGCACATTTGAGGAGGTTGTTTGGAACATTATTCTTTGGTTTGATGAAAGAACAGACTTTGAGTTGAGGTGACCAAATGCTGAGCTCTCATTAAACAATCACTAGCAATCACTAGGTTAAGAATTAAAAAGAATCTCAAATAGAGTTGTGGTAAACTGAAAATTTCCCTCTGAAAAGTTTCATGGAGCATACTGAAATTATCCCCCCCTTTACAAAATGCTACAAAATGCTGGTGCTGCAAACAGAATGCAGAGGTTATCTAGTTGAGTCTCCTCATTTATGAATGTAGTCAGCAAGCCCTAGGAAATTGCCTACAGGTGACACTGCCAGTGGTCATTCCTAAAGGACCTTTTTATGGAGTTTGTACTGGGAATTGAGCACAGGGCCTTAACATGCTATGCAAGTGCTTGACTTTTTAAAATTTTATTTTAAAATGTTAGTAAAATTTTATTTTGAGGCTGAGGTAGGAGGATCACAAGTTCAAAGTCAGCCTCAGCAACAGCAAGGCACTAAGCAACTCAGTGAGATCCTGTCTCAAAATCAAATACAAATTAGACCTGGGGATGTGGCTCAGTGGTTGAGTGTCCCCGGAGTTCAATCCCTGGTACCCACCCCCCCTGCAAAAAATAAAAATTATTTTGAGACAGAATCTCACTAAATTGTTCAGCCTGGCCTCAAACTTGTGATCTTCCTGCCTTAGTCTTCTGAGTAACTGGGATTATAGGGGGTGTGCCACCATGTCAGACTAGGGCAAGTGTTTTTTTTTTTTTTTAATAGTTGTAAATGGACAGCATGCCTTTATTTATTTTTTTATATGGTTCTAAGGATTGAACTCAGTGCCTCACACATGCTAGGCAAGTGCTCTGCCACTGAGCTACAGCCTCAGCCCAGGGCAAGTGTTCTTAATTCCTTCCTGCCTCAGACTCTAAAAGTACTGTTTTGTACATTTTTAATTTCAATTAATAACCAGGCACACTGGTGATGTAGCTCAGTGTTAGAGTACTTTAATAAAACAACAAGGACAATGACAAAAGTTACTCCAAGAGAAAGAATTTACAAAATTCTGATTAAGGATATAATTTTAGAGCCAAGAAAGAAAACATTTTCATATTTCTTTCCATAAGCTGTTTGTAAAACTCAAAGGTCTACACTGTTTAGTCTGAATATGAATTTTATGAATAACAATTATAAACTAGAAGTATTGACATGACCTGCCAACAGTTATAACACATTAATAAGACTTATATGAGGTCGGAATACTGAATTGCTACATACCCAAGTAATGTTCATGTACTCTAATCACTTCACAAAGTCCAGGGTCTTCAGAATCCAGGGGCAAAATTCCTAAAATTTAAAAAGAGATCCTTAAAGAAAACTAAAATGTATTCATTCCTAATGAACATATTTGTGTAAATTTTGTTCGGTGGAATTTTAAGGAAGGTTTCAGTAATTATCATTGTGGGGAAGGGAGAGACTTCAGAAATATGGAAGGGGACTATATATTTTCTGGTATAAACATAGTGATGCTTGTGCTGTCTCCATATTTGTCTCTTCTGTTACTTCTTGAGTGTCATAAAGATAATAGTCAATGTTATAGAGCTAAATCAGAGTCTTGGGGAAACCTGGAATTCCTGGGTAAAACTGTCTTTGATATATATAGCTACCTTCCTATGGTTTGGTTCCATGTAATACCTAGGTATGTTTTCAATAAAAATCTCATTTTTATTTTTGGTCTCTTCCAAAAAGCATCTGGGGTAATACAGAATTTCACTGACTTCACGGACAAAAAAAAAAAAAAAAGATAAAATTATCAATTCTCTAGAAAAATCAGACAATCCTATAAAAAGCTGAAAAAAATCTTTCTACAAATCTGTTCTTTAACAGCTTAAACATGTTATAAGGGGCTGCAGTTATGGCTCAGTGGTGGAGCTCTTGCCTGGCATGTGAGGTCCTGGGTTCCATCCTCAGCATCACATAAAATTAAATAAATAAAATAAATGTATTGTGACTGTCTACAACTAAAAATCATAAATTAAAAAAAATGTAATAAGGCTAAGTAATTTTTTAAAATTTATATGCATATCTTCCATGAAAAAATGGAAGTTTCAAAGACCACAAATAAAGCCATACTCTATATGTTTGTGTGACTATCTAGGATACAAGTATAAATACATATATATTTTTTGAGAAAAATATTATTACAGTAATTAAGGTTTTAAGAAAACTATATATTAATGTTTCAAGTAAATTTTTAGTTTTCCATACTAGCAAGGGAGCTCTGTAGGACTCAAGTGAGAGTGGAGAACAGAGATTCTATAAGGCCCAGCCAGTCAGTGGTTGTCAAGCATAGGCCACACAACTTTCCTTTTCTTGAGAGACTTCAGTGTGTCCACAGACTGGGGACTGGAAAGAAAAGTACTGTATCAAGCACAGCAGCAATTATGGTTATTTTTCAGCCTAAAAAACTGCCCTATAGCCAACTATTGACAAGCTTCAAAAGTTGTGCTAATTTGGATTAAACTTCCAATTTTCTTCATTAATGGATACTTGAGAGTAAATTCCCAAACTCTTAATATTTTATTTTTTGCCATGCTGGGACTGAACCCAGGGTCTCACTCATGCTAGGCAAGCACTTTACCACTGAGCTGTACACCACCAGCCCAGGAAAGTATTTAATCTATGAAGTAAGATCACAATGAACATTAATAAAAAGAGAAACAAGAAGAGATGGCAATAAAACCAATGAACTGAAAATGAACTGTGAACTAAAACTTACCAACTACTTCATCATCTGGTTGAAAGAATGATACCTTGGTTCCAACTAGAGAGAAGAAAATTAATAGTTACCATCATAAGGTTACTAAATATAATTCTTATTTAACCATTAAAACAAAGGATCCATGGGTTTATAAAAAGTCATTCATTCAAAGAAAAGGCTAAGAAGGAGGACATTATAATAGTGTGTGAAGACTCTAGGACAGAACACTTCAAATCTGGATTCTCTACAGAATCTGGGGCACACAGTTACTGACAGCATGGAAAAATATATTTCTCTCTATGGCTGTCTACTAGCTAACTTTAAGGATAAAGGAGTAAAAGAAAATAATCCATCCCCTAGTTTCTATGATGATGATGTTGTTTTCTACCCAACACTGACACTTTCTGGCTAATCCTTCAATTATTATTTTAGTTGCAAATCTCAAGACACACAATGGATAATGCTGATAGGAGTCTCATGTAAAGACTACTTTATTTTGTGAAGACATTCAGAAAGTTTTTGAAATTTTATAGTAATTAATTTAATTATATTTTCTTTGCCTATGCAGAGAAAAGTCAATTCATATGAATATTTTTATTCAGAGTTATAAGAGAAAAAAATGGCAGTGCTGTTGAATGCCTACTTGTACCCAGCACTTTAGCATGTTCATGCATTTAATCTTTACAACAGGCCCATGAAGTATTATTCTTCCTATTTTACACACAGTAAAACTGAGATGAAGCAGTACAATATTCTGTAAGTGGCCCCTTTAGTTGTCTCTAAGCAAAATGGCCTCAAAACTCTTCTGCTTGTACCCAGCAAATAACTCTAAGCTGGTATTCCTCCTTTTGCAGTTTGCTTCTTGGGATCCCTCCTGTGCTATTACCCATCAGTACGTTTGGCTTCTGACCCATTGAATTTTTCTTTCCTTTCTGCTGCTGATCCACGTCCTCTTGAGATCATTTGGACCCGTTTTTGGCTCCCTTTACACTCTTCTTTTAATTATTCCTCAACAGGTGCCTCCTGAAGAGTTCTATGTTTACATGTCTCCTCCATTTCTACACGTTCTCTGGATGAGTTTATCAAGTCTATTATTTCAAATACAATCCACATGCTGACAACCCTCAAATATAAACATTTCCAGCATGGATCCTTTACCCTTGATATTCAATTCATATAACAGATTACTGGATATCACCAGTGAGATGTTATTTAAGTACCTGGACCTCAATAAGTATAAATCTGAACTCATCATCTTCCAGATTGGATCCTCTTCATTTATCAATTTGTGGTACCAATTCATGCCTAACTAGAATTCTCTAAGTCATTCATGGTCCTCATCTGTGTTGATTTCCCCAATTCCAATCCATTGTTAAGTCCTGCTGACTCCCTCAATATTTCTTCAGTTTGTTCCTCTTTTCTACCTCTGCTACCACCACTCTCTAGGTTATAAAGTTTGTTATTTCTTGTCTGTGGGTCTACAAACCAACTAGTCCTCTGACATAGGGGCTGGTTTGCTTGCCTTTCCATGGCACCTTGCTTCTTTGTCTTGCTAATGATTCCCTCTGCTTTGATTCTCTACCTGCTGGCCTCTGGCCATTTGGGCAATTTACTCTAAGAAGTCTTTCCTGTTTTTCTGTCTGGGTTGGGCAGTTTTCCTTGAAGCTTTCATAATAATCTATTCAAATGCATGTATCTGTCTTTCTTTTAGACAGTTATCTCCTTGAGGGCAGGACCTTTATCTTAGTTATATCCTAAGGACTTAGCAACTCCTTATCAAATTGAATGAATGAATGCATGCTCCCCTGGTTATCATACTTATTTTTTCTATATTTTGAGTAGACTAAAAGAGAGGAAACAAAAAATTATCATTTAGGTGAGAGGATAACACTGAGAAAGAGTAAAATTCACAGTAAAACTGAAATATAGACCAACCCACATTAATGTACCTATTCACATATGTAGGGAGAAAACATATACTGATTGATTATGAACTACCTTTTAGTAGTGAGTATTAAGATTAGGTCTATTAATCTCAAATAATTAGGCTTACTGTTCTGCATGCTAAAAAGCAATATTTAAGGCAATCATAAATCTCACTGATTCTCTTCAGAAACTACAATTCCCATTTCTAGATAAATGAAGTACTTAACTTTCAAAATGCTCAATTTTAGGCACAGTTAACTTATGATTACATAGAATTTGTCCCAAAGCTAGCTTATACAAGAAATATACGCTTATTTGTAAATATCATTAAAAGGACAACGTTAGTCATCCTACTGAAGATGATTACTCATGAATTTAAATATATAATACTTAAATATCTTCTAAACTCTGTTAAGCTCTTTAATTATAAATTAAGTCCTAATTTTTTCCAGAATATTTATTAAGCAACTACTGTATGTCAGGTTAAGGTTAGTGTTCCTTCTAGGCATAAAGAAAGGAACAAAAGTCTGTGCCTTCAAGGAGTTCATACTCTATTGGGGTCTTTTATTTGTATTTAAGAATACAAATAGAAGCAGATAGTCAAGGACATAAAGAAGGTATGCTGAGATGATGTGGCATAAGCTTGAGTGGCAGGAAGGGCTTCTTTCTCAGGTCACTGTGGAATACAGGAAGGAGCCAAGAGCAAACTGGGGGAAAGCATCCAGGTAGATCTTCCATTTGTTCCAATCTCCCCTTAATCCAGGCCCTGATCCAAAAAATGTCTCAAAGGAAACCCAGTCCAGAATTGTAAAGCTCCTACCTTTATTATCTGGATTTTTAGGGTCGGGGTGGACCAGACAGAGGAGTCTGCCAATGGAAGGATCTGGCAGCCACTTCCTCACCGGCAGGGTGCCCCAGGTTTGCTCTGGCCAGGGGCAGAGTCTGACTTACCGTCTTTTGGGAAACATTGCCCCTGCACCATCTCCCTCACTCAAGTGTCCCCAAAATCCCAGGCCAGGCCAGAAGCCAGGGCTGAATAGAAGGGTTGTGGTGATGCCCAGTCCTCAGCCAGGCCCCTGCACTCCAGGTGCACTGACTTAAGGGTGGGGCCTTCTAAGCATCCCCTTTGATAGGTAGGCCAAGTCCTTGGGGTATCACAGGGGTGGGCCTGGTCCCCAGGATTACAGAGATTGTGAAAACACCAAAGACTGGCTCAGTCCCACACTAGCAGGTTGGAGAATACACTAGGAAGCCGTGAGAATGGACCTCCTAGGAGGGGAAGGGGAGCTGTGTGGCATAGAAATATGCCCAGGTCAGGTGAGTGGGTCCAAGAGGTGCCAGGTCACTTCTTGGTGTGGTCTGCCTTGTCCAGGACAGCCATGATCAGGTGATGATAATGATGAGGGACTTGAGCAAGATGATGGGGGGTGGTGACCCACATGCCTATTTGGAAAAACCCCACAGAGCTGACTAATGGTTCTTTGGAGAAATTGAAGAGCTCACTTTCAATACAACAGAGCTGGCCTGGAGGTGTAGTAGATTTTGAAGCACTGGATTCCCAGATAAGTTGATGATGCTTTGGACGACAGAACATGATTAAAGGCTTGAGCGGAATGTTCATTGAAAAGTGTCCAGAAGTTCGCTGAGCAGGTAGGAGGAGTAGGCCATGAGAGGACAGCAGGGCATGAAGCAGAAAGTAATGATGTAAAGACAATCTGGCACAACCGAAAAGGTCAGGCATGAACAGGAAGATATTTTCTCTTGACACCGTAATGGTCTCTTGCCATCCTGGGTCCTCTCTAAAGGTACCAGCACAGAACCAGCTCCACCAGTGTGGCCTTACTCCTTGGTCCTGGAGTATCTGCTGGGACACCTATATCCCGGTGCCCACTGCCAGCACTCCAACCCCGGATGTTAAAATCTTGCAGCCCATAGGAGCACTGGCAAAGCAGATGTGCTCCAGATGCAGAGGGCCTCCCTGCACACCTTGGCCTTATGGGCAGCGCCTCACCTTCATGTGCCCTGCAGGCTTTCCTGCTCCATCAGCATCCCTGCTGCTCCAGCTGCACCTGGCTTCCTGGAACCTACTCTCCTGCCAACTCCTATTTTTAAGAAGGTCATTTTTGTATAATAAAAATTTACATTTGAAGGGGTGTCTATGATTTTAGTGCCAGTAAACTATTATGTCATTTCTTTTACCTTGGAAAAAAATATTTACATTTGTAAACTTACCATCCAAAACAATTCCAGCAACTTCTCTTCCAACAGGAAAGAAATCCTTTTCCATCTTCATTTCCGCCAGAAGCTAAATCATGACAGAAACTGTTAGCATACTATTGTCATGAATAAATCCTGTTTCTCCTCACACATGAGAAAAGTCAGAACAAAGATCAAGCCACAGAAAGAGAAAATATGATTTAATTTTTGAAATTAAAACAAACAAAATATATTTCTTTGTAGCATAGGAAACCAAGAATTTGATGAGTAAGTAGTTGATATATAGGACTTTCACATAGTATTATTATTCAAATAACTATTTCTGTTTAACATCTTTATTTTACCATGTATGAAGGGAAATTAAGGCCCAGATATTTCTTGGTTGAACACTGTTACTTAGTCTTCTATTCAGGAGTAGGGAGGGGAATCTAGGGAGGTTATTGTTGAATAAGGGAAATGTGATTATTAAAAACAAAGGTGGTCTATTACCACATCCTTTAAAAATCACCTGAGTTTTTCCTCACAAATCTTGGGTTAGGAAGCAGGTGGGAAGAATACATAGTAAGAGTAAAATTACCATGATTTCTGACTCATGGAGAGTGTAGTTCATTTTTTTTTAGGAAAAATTTTTTTAAAAAAATCAGTATTTTGTTAAGATTATTTTGTTAGATCCTAACCAAACTGATAGTATGTCCTTATCTTTTAAAATAACAGAGAATACTAAAATAATCATGTATTTAAGTTCCTGCAACTTACAACAACACCAGAGAGACTGAACATATTTGTAGATATAATAGGTATTTTAGGAATAGCAAATAAAAAAATGAAACAATTCTTTGTTATGTTTCCTTTATTTTTCAAAATTACAAATACAAGTCTCCCATGTGTATAGCATTTTCTTATATTACTCCATAATCTTTATAAACCATTATGTCTAACATTTGTATAATATTCATTCAATTGGTTTTTACTATAATTTACTATTTCTTTCTGTCAGAGTGATTTTAACAGATTTTTCATAGCTTTAAAAAGTACATCTTCCAATCATAAATATGCAGACAAGGACTTGTACTCATATTCTTGGTGAAAAAACTTCAGGGGAATCTCAATTCATTTCTCAAGTTGTGTTCATGTTATGAGTTACCCAATGGGAGCCTTGTTCTTTAATTTTGGCTTTGAGTTCATCAAAGAAAACTAAAATTCTTAGGAATTATGATTACATTAAAATCTAAAAAATTAATGATCTGATGAAGTGTTATTCATCTTTAAAAAACTCAGAAGATGGAGTTGTTCTACTTATCACAGCACGTTTAACAATAATTTGTTTACCATTTGAATATTTTCCATTTATTTTTATGGTCAATAATGAAAACACAACCTTGGGATGGTGTAAGACTGGAGATATGAGTTTATGAGTGAGAAAGAGAGAGAAATGATAAAACCATATAAAAGTTGTAAACTAGAAATATCACATAATCAATGGTCAACAAACTAATTGATTAGGTTTCTTGCAGGGTGTTATGGTGCACACCTGTAATCCCACTGCTTTGGGAGGCTGAGGAAGGAGGATCACAAGTTCAAAGCCAGCCTCAGCAAAAGCGAGGTGTTAAGCACTCAGTGAGACCCTGTCTCTAAATAAAATACAAAATAGGGCTGGGGATGTGGCTCAGTGGTCAAGTGCCCCTGGGTTCAATCCCTTGTACCCCCAAAACAAAACAAAAATAAAAATTCATTAGGTTTCTAGTTTCTATTTTTATTGCTATTAAAAAGGTAATTTTCCCCTTAATCAATATGCCTTAGTAATTATAAACTCTCAGTCTTTCGATAAGTAATTTATAAAATATTCTCATATAGAGGTATAAAATAGAAGACCTTCAATCAAACTAGTAATTAATTGTAGTAGAAATACACAAATGTGAATTAAATATTTTTCCTAGATTCAATTTTTCTATGGACAATAATTTCTTGGCATTAAGAAGTCAGTTATCATTATAAATACATTACAAAACTCTGATTTGACTTTTGGCCATAATAAAAGCATCAATACCTTTGTATTTATTTGGCTCAAAGCACAAGCTTTAACTTGGAGTTTCACAAAGTTATCCTCTGTAATAGGAAGATTTTCCTAGAATCAAATGATAGCAAAATATTGTTACATATTCTATGAGAACACTCCTTTTTGTTTTAAAATTTTCTTACATAAACAAATTTAAACTGAACCTAAATCTTACGGTTAACTCAATTTTAAAAGCAACAAATAACTACCCAATATTATAGGATAAAAAAAGAATGAAGGAAATTTGGAGATACAATTTATACAATGCTTTAGAGTTCATATTTTGAAAAGTACTCAGACATCAAAATGGACATGTGTATAGACAATAAACTTAGGTTAACAAAACAGAGCAATAAATTTGTACTTTATTCCAATATAAATCATCTCAAAGCTCAGACCTTCACACTTACAGGGATATCCTTATACTCATACACACATCACATAGCCTTTACTAATTTTTGTAATGTTCTTAATGTTATAAATGAAATTCTTTAGCATCATTAACATCTGTCTCAGATATTTTAGCATATTCCATGGAATTAACTATCATATTCCACAGTTAGATAAAACTTCAAAGGCAAAAAATATTCAAAATTCAGGCACTCAATGTCATCCTGTCAATATTATTAAATATGATATGATTGACTCATAATAGTTATGCTGTGTCCCAAAAAGTAAATTACTCGCCTCAATCCCCTCTAGTCCCCTGTCATATATTCAAAATTAGGTCAAAATCTGACAAAAAATAGTTAATAGCTACTCCATTACTGTTTCATTTGCCATACACACAATATTATGAGAATATCCTTTTTTTTATCCAATATTATGAGAATAACCTTTCTAATAATCTTCAATATAGAAATAATTCTACTATTTATGTCTATAAGTTGATCATTTAAATTAGGGAACATTTAAAGTTGAATGAGTGAAGTAACTCTGGCAAGCTCAGATATTTTTATGGAAAACAATGTTTTTCTTTCTCTTCCATTACACTATATGAATCAAAGTATATTTTGAAGTATGGCTATAATCTAAAAACTTGCTTTGTTGTGGTATGCAGAATAAACTGGATTAATTTTTCAACATACAGATGATTAGGTTGTTCTGTCTTCCTAATAACTTTCACATTACTGTCCTAAGGAACAACAATTTTTTTTGTAGCAGTTCTTTAAAAAATATAGTTATGCTACAATATGAAGCAACATTTTTACGTTAAGATTAAAGGATAGTGATTTGGGGAGCTTCAATAAAACTTTTGCTTATTATTCAACTAATAACAGGTCATTTAAGTTAGTCTATAATAAAAGAAAACACATTATAGCTTATTTCACTTAACATTTTTATTACCTTTTCTTGAAATACAAATGTTATTTCTCCATTTGTGGAACTCTGTTGAAAATATAAGCCTTTCATAGTCACCTAAAACAAACAAAAAACACACATAACAGAGTCTTCCAGACCAAGTGAAAGCACGAATTGAAAAATAGTGTTGGCAAAGGACAAAATGACAATTATAAATGTAGTCTTCACACAAGTAAACTTAGATAATAGTTCTTTTATAAAGTGATCAAATAAGAGTATGTAGCCATCTCTGGGTACAGGTCTTACTTAGAATGGGTTCACAATTCAACCTTTCATTCTAAAAGCAAGCATGTTTAACTTTACTCTCCTACTTAAAAAAAGGCTTTACACGAGCCTGAGAACCAGGTCCAAATTTTCCAAGGTTAAATTTCAAAGGAAAATTAAAAAGGAAAAAGTAGACAGGACACTGGGTGAAACTGTGCCTCTAATTCTTCTCTAGCAGTCTATAGAACTTTTAATGGAAGAATTTACATCTATATTCTGTGAACGTTTCTGTTTATTTGTTTGTGGTGTTTGGGATGGAACTCAGGGCCTTGCACATGCTAGACAAATCGCTTCCATTGACCTATATCCTCAGCCCTGTGTTCTGTGAACTTCTTGAAGCATTTCCAAGGATTCCACAGTTGTTTAATTTTTGTAGTGATCATACTACAAGACAATTGTTTTGTCAACTTAACAGAAAAATAAAATAAAAAGTGTATAGCTTGTCCAATTTTAAAAGTAAATATGCTTATGTCACACACACACAAAAACAAAACCCAAAAAACAAAAACACATGACTTGAACTGCAGAAGCTCCCTTGTGTTCCCTTTCTAGTCACTGCTTTCCTTCCCCCTCCTAATGTTTTGAACCTCATAGGAAGAACATTCTTCTCCTTTATGTGTGCTTCATTTCTCTTAATATTATATTTGCAAGTCCACTCAGGCTATTGCTTACAGTTGTAGTCCAGTTATTCCCACTGCTATATATCACTTCAGTGATGAGTAAGTTACTGGCTATCTATTCCACTATGGATAGACATTTGAATTGTTTCGAGTTTGAGGTACTTGCAAATTGTCCTATTCAGAAAATTCTTGTTGTTGAAAGTACTAGTATTGCATTTATTTTTTATATAAGGAAACTACAACTCCCCCAACTCTAAATGGGGACTGAAGGAAAGGAAACTGCATCTTAAAGAGATTAAGTTTCAAACATGGGGTCTCATAGAACTAGCTGGTCCAGAAATGGGACACACACCAGGTGTTCCCCCTTCCAAAGTCATTATTTTATTTCTTTCTTTTCCAAAATAATTTTAACCATTACAGTATTTAATGCTTTCCCATTGAGCTTCTAACATGAGATATTTAATTTAAAACTAGAATACTTCATCCTTTAGGATTGATTATTAAGTTCTTCTTGACAGAATTGCCTATATATAATTTCCAGGTTCCAGTGCAAAATTAAAAATGGGGAACATTTCATAAATTATTAAAAATTCAAGTCAGCAATAGCAGAGTACTAAACCAAGCATGGGTCCTTTCTAAACATGAGACCCAGTGAGACTGCATAGATGTCAAGCCCATGAAACCAGCCTTGGTTGCTGGCATCTTAGTGGATCTACCTGGATCTATATAAAAGAGTTTTTGGAATGTGGATGAGCAATGGCTGCTACTTCCTAGGATGGAATAATCAAACACTGGAACTTAAAAATATGAATACACATTGAATACATATAGAAATTATACAAATAGCATGTATCAACAAAGTGTATAAAAACAGGACAAGCTAGGTCAAAAGACTGAAATATTCCTACGTATTTGGTTACAAAAGGTGTTTGTGTCAATGAGTTTGTTGAGGGTGGGGGGAAGGAGAGGGGAATAACCTAAGCATGCTTTTTGTTGAAAGTACTAGTATTGCATTTATTTTTTATATAAGGAAACTACAACTGCCCCAACTCCAAATGGGGAATGAAGTAATATAGCATATATTCCCTATATTAATTGTAACCGTTTCAGCCTAGTTTTCAAGGCTCTCTAAAAGCCATTCCCACTCTTCCCACAATTTTCCAACACACACCTGTCTGATCAAGACAGTGTAACTCCACACCATATGGTTACCCCATCTCAGGCTTCCAAGCATGGCCTGTTCTGTGAAACACTGCTGTACTAACTGCAGATTCTGCCAAGCACATAAAACTCAAGTCCTACGCTCTTTCTGGAATCACCTTCAGTGACAGTCAATCTACCCCATCTGTTCCATGATCCTAGAGTTTGTTATATACTAACAAACAAAACTTTGTTTTATTAACTTATTAACTAATGGACTTTTCCTGCTATTGCCTGGGTGAATCAATACCCATTGTTTTTAAGTAAATAAATCCTTGTTCCTGATTAGTCTGGAGGTATTCAGGTTGCCTTTTGCAGAAACAGAACAACTACATATCAACATCTTGATTTCAACCCATCTCCCTTTGTGATTCTGGAAGCCACTGTTTTCTCTACCCATTAAATCTTAAAACATATGGCATGGGTCCCAGATCAGCAATCACATGGATCTGATACTATGCCCCAATTTCATGTTAAATACTTCTTACAAATCAGCTGAATATTGGCCTAGCTGGTGGGGGAAAAAAAAAAAAAAGATTAGTTGATACAATGAAGAGCTGTGGGCTGGGGTTGTAGCTCAGAGGTAGAATGCTCGCCTACCATGCATGAGGCACTGGGTACGAGCCTCAGCACCAAAAAACAAACAAACAAACATACAAACAACAACAACAACAAAAAAAAAACAAAGCAAAGAAAAAAATTAGAACTGCTATGTGGGCTCAAAACAATACACTAAGTTACAAAGTGAAGAGAGGTATTTTTACAAAAATGAAGAGGAACATTAAGAAAATATTAATGCTTTGTTTTGCAACCCCCCCCCCCCAAAGGAATACTGAATTCCTAGTTCTAAGAAAATGGTAGGGGGGTGACAGTCAAGGCCCACAAGGTTTCTTAGGCACTAGTCCCAATTAAATGGGACATTGAGTTTTTTATGTAATAAAACGTTTTCTGGATTTAAAGATATTTGGAGGGGCCGGGGCTGTAGCTCAGTAGCAAAGTGTTTGCCTAGCATGTGTAAGGCAATGGGTTGGATCCTTAGAAATACATAAAAATAAACAACAACAACAAAAAAGGCATGCTGTCCATCTACAACTACCAAAGTCAAAAAAACAACAAAAAAGATCTGCACACATGAAATCAATGCACAGTTTTCAGAATAAAAATAGAAATTATTTTTCATGACATTTCTAACAAAGTCATGTAATTTCAAAATTATATGTTCTAATATAAATTTTGCTAAATTGGAAAAGTCCTGTGTGTATGGCTGGGATTGAACCTAGGGGTCTCATGTAATGCTAGGCACAGAACAATATATAACTTTTTTTTTTCTTTTCTTGGTATTAAGGATTGAACAGGGGTACTTTACCACTAAGCTACATGCCCAGGCCTTTTTATTTTGAGACAGGATCTTGCTAATTTGCTGAGGTTGGCCTACAACTTGTGATCTTCCTGTCTCAGCCTCCTGAGTCTTTGGGATTATAAGCATGGGCCACCTAGCTCGGATTGTTATATTTTGACCTTCTGGGAAAATGTAATATGTTTTATTGTTTTAATGGTGTTCTTAATAATCTGAAACTTTTTCATATATATCCATATATCAGAAAAAGAAATATGAGTAACCACATGCCCAAATATTTGGGTAAATATCTGGAGATTTGGTTCAAAAACCATACTGTGCAGGCTGGGGAGGATGGCAGTGCTAACCAAATCCAGAAAAGCCAGCTGAGCTTCAAGAGGGAGGTAGATATATGATCCTAATAGTCTACATCATATACACAAGAGTCACTAAAAATTTGTGTACCCTGAGGACATTGGAAATACACAGGTATTTTGTTATAAACAATTGCAACACACTTGAATCAAAGTGTGAAATATGATATATCAAGAACTATGTAATGTTTTGAACAACGAACAATAAAAAAAAAAGAAACAAAAAAACAAACAAAAAAAAAAAACCCAATTGCACTGCTTTTCTGTGCCTGTTGGGTACAGGAGATAACTGAGATAGGTACTTATACTTGGCTAAACCTTAGAAATCAAGTCTAGCAAATATAGTCACATGGATATAGTCACAGGGGCTTCAAAATGAGGGTTCAAGCATCAGGTAAGTGGAGCAGCAGGATCATCAGATGACGGTTAAGGTTTCTTCTAATTATGACAATATAGATTTCTATAAATATTTTCAAGACATACTCAACTAACTTTATGCATATGTGGCATAATCCCTATATTTTATGCAAACTGAGAACTAAAGATAGCTGGAGAAGCATAAAAAAGAAAGAAAGAAAGAAAGGAAAGAAGTATTTGCTTGGAAGTGTCACATTGTTACTTCAATATTCAATAAGGGGCAGGGGTTGTGGCTCAGTGGTAGTGTGCTTGCCTATTATGCGTGAGGCACTGGGTTCGATTCTCAGCACCACACACAAATAAATAAAATAAAGGTCCATCAACAACTGAAAGAAATTAAAAAAAAATTTCAATATGTCGTTTCCACACTGAGCAGCGAGGCATCCAACTAAGATCATTTTGGATCCCTAAAGAATTTTAATATAGTTCCCCTCATTCCTTGAGAGCTTTACTTGGATTATGGGTCAATGCACAGAATATATTTTCACTTAAGGACATTGGCAAAAGCCATGAGTATACAGATATCTTGTTGTAAACAGTTGCATTGCTTTGCTGTGCCTGTTGGGCACAGGAGATACTGAAATAGAGTCTAGGATTTCCTATAGGAGGCATTCCTTTTCTAACACCATTAGCAGGTAGGGAATGATTGAGATGGTGATTATCCAAAGGTTGGAAATCTCTGGACTAGTTATTATTCAATGAAGGCCAATTAATAGTACAATTTAGGACAACTGAAACTTAAAATTTCACTACATTTCTTGAATTAGCATCACCTTTCCCACATTGTGCTACTGGGAAAAAAATAGAGTCAATGGTGTAATGAATGGAATGTCCCCTTTTAAACTGGCTATATGAGATGATATAGGGACAATGCAGGTAGAGATGGATAGAGATGAGGGAGACAGTCAATTGAGGAATCTTCCCTAATTTCTTATAACACTTTCTCCTTCCTGACTGGTACAAAATCTTTACCTACTAATAGCATTGCAATCTTAAGGCTTACTTTTCAATTCATTATAGGGTCCTGAAATAATTTCTTGGTTTAAAGGCAAACATGAATTGGTAATTTTGATTAAATATTAAAAAAATCAAAATTAAGAGCAAATAATCTCATGGAATGTATCATAATATATAAAAACGAAAGAAATTATTTTGTGAAGTACCATATTTTAACACGTGTGAGTATGTGTACTCTTGTTCTTGTACTCAAGGCTTTCCTTAGCTCAATGTAGCACTATTTACTGGATCCACAAAAGGCATAAAGTTGTCCTTGAAACAGTCTAAGAGCAGTTCTTAATAAGAGGAAAACATTCATTTTTATCACTCAAAAAAAAAAATTCACCACAAACAAAAATAGAAAACACTGTCACAGTGAAGCAATTTATGAATTCCCAAGCTTTCCCACCTTCCTTCTTCAGGGAGGTACACCAATTAATCAAAAGCCATTACTGCCCAGGGTCCAGTACTGGTCCAGAGGTCTAAATCTCCTTCAGGATTTCAACTCTCATTCTTAAATACAGAACTTTGATTGAAATGCCCAGCATGGAGAATAGTAAAACTACCAAACTCTACTTCACTGCAAATGTCAGGCAGTTTGACTTTTTATGGGGAATTCATATTTCAAATTTGAACATATCATCCTCTGCCACAAGCTGGAGCAGAAGTATCAATGAAGTGAAAACAAAAGGTAATACTTTTACTTTGCAGTGGATGATGGATAAAATTTAGAAGTCCTAAATGACTCTGCTTTGAATTCTTAGTAACCTCTGAGAGTTGCTGCAAGGATTCAATACAGTAATCTATGCAAAGCACTTGACTTGGCTTCAACAAATGTTAATTACCTTTACTATTTCTTTAAGTTGGGCAGAGAACCTCTAAAATAGTTCTGAAACCCAGAGCAGCAAAGGCTTGTTCACATGCAACAATTCTAATGTCTACAATAGTCCATTCTATCATTTGGCTCTATATTGTAGATGGTAGAACAGCAGCCAATAGCTACAGGTGGCTACTGAGCACTTGAACTGTGTGTATTCAAAATTGATACGTACTGTTAAGTGTTAAGTGCATATTAAATTTGGAAGACTCAATATGAAAAAAACAAAATTTTAAAAAAATTTTTTTTCATTGAAATAATTTTGAATATACTGGGTTAAATGAAACCTAAAATTCAGGTTTCGTTTCACTTTTTAAATGTTGCCACAAGTAGATCGAATTATCTTCATAGTGGTCAGAAGTGACGTAGAATCTTGCTAACGAGGACTAGTACAACCTGGGAGCTGGTTGTAAATGCAGGTCCTTAGGGCGAGACACACAGAGTCAGCATCTGCATATGAACGTGATCCTATGATTGTTCCCGTGTGTCTCTCCTGTGTATTCCGCTATTTAGTTTAATGAAGAGGACAAATCTGGCCCTAAGGTCACATAAATAATAATTCCCTTGCTCTAGGTAATTGCTTACTGAAAAACGAAAGTCTACAGGAAGCAAGCAAAGGCAGAAGAGTAATGAAGCAAGAAACTCAAATATAGGAACAAAAAGAAGTGGGAGAAACAAAATTCAAACTGGGAGATACAGCTGGAAGAGAACTTCCAGACCTTCGCCTCCATAAATGTGAAGGAAGATGGAAACTAAGCCAAAATCTACAATCAAGACCTGCAAAGCGCAAGGAAGCTGCCAGTCAAATTTAGTCTTACCCGCCCCTCAGTAGCCTCAGCTAAGGTAGGCCAGAGCCCGAGTGAGTCCAAGGCTGGGGAGCTTCACGAACCACCAGCTCTCCCAGGGTTACACTGTTCCTCGGGATGTCTCTCCATCTTTCGCCCACAGTCCCTTTTCTCCAGACACATAACATGCTTCCCAGGGCTCACCTGCCTCCAAGCAGCCCCAACTGCCAGCGCCTTCGCCACCGCCACCTTCCAGTCTTTCTGCAGGGAACCCGCCCCCTCGAAATCAGATGGTACTCCCATTGGTCCGACAGTTCGTCACTCCTGCAGGGAGGGGCCGGGCTCCAGGAGGCTGTAGAGAACGCCATAGCAACCAAACTCGGAACTACAACTCCCAGCATGCTCCAAAAGGGGAGACGCGAGGTACCGCCCCAAGGGCTACCAATAAATGGGCGAAGTTGAAATCGCCCGGATGGGTTCCGTTTTATGCAAATCTAAGTTAAAGCCACACCCTTCCTCATTCCAACTGAGCCCCCCTACTGCACCCTCCTCGGGCTGTACCCTGACTCCCTTTTCTTCTCCACTACATACTCTCCAGTAAAACCTTACGTAATTTAGTTGAATGCATTGTAGCTATTGTTTCTCACGACAGCGAGCAGATGCACCAAATGGTGGAAGAAAATCTCCATAAATCCTAGACCCGAAACCTTTGGTTCCGCCTTTGTGGGAGGAGGAGCAGGAGAGGAGGAAGAGGTTTCCTCTCCGAGCCTGTTGATTGGCTTATCTCTGTGTCATTCCGTACGCCTCCATTTTTCTTCAGCTCTCTCTCCTAGCATCCTCCGGTGGGCAGGGCCAGTGGTAGGGGCGGTGAGGAGGTGTGGTCATCTTCTTTCGATTGGCAGACGGTTGTGACCACCTATCTGTGGGCGGAGACCGAGGGGTGGATGGGGGCGGAGGAGGCTTCGGAGGGAGATGAGGAGATAGGCGGGAGCGAGGGAGGGAGCGAAGGAGGTAGAGAGGAGTGGAGGAGCGTAGGGAGGGAGCGCAGCTTGGTTGCTCCGTAGTACGGCGGCTCGCGAGGGAGACTCCCGAGCGGGCTCCGGGACGGGCGGGCAGGCGGGCGGGGATGGTGTGCGGGGCTGCGGCTCCTGCGTCCCACCCAACAGCGTGTGAGCTGCACTGATTTGTGCCTGGGGCGGCAGCGCGGACCCGCCCGGAGATGAGGTGAGGAGCGGGCTGACGGCGGCGGCCTGGGCTGTGGGAGGTGGCGCGGGGGCGGGGGTCGGCGCGGGGGTCGGCGCGATGGCCGCCCGGGGCGCTGGTCCCGCTGCTCCGCGCGCGTCCCTCCGGCCGCCCTTCACCCTGTGCGGCGCACGCTGGAGGCGGGGCAGCGGCCGCCCGTCCACCTCGTCCTCCTCATCCTCCCGGGAGCTGCGGCTGGGGGCCGGCTGGCCGGCAGCGAGAGGCCGGGCTCCGCGGCGGGGCCTGGGAGTGGCGGCAGCGGGACGGGCTTGGGGTTGAATGGGCGTCCGCAGCCCTGGTCTGGCCAGCTGGCTCCCTCCTTAGGGGGCATCGCGGTCGGGCGTTCCTTCCAGGGCTGACCTCGCTGCCCTCGGCCGCCGGAGGGTGGCGGGCCGGCCCAGCCTCACCAGCTTCCCGGGAACCCGAGCTCGCCGGGAGCAGCCTCGCGCCTCCCGCCTGTCGTGTCTCCCGCCGCCCCCCCACCCCGGCCTGGAGTCCCCGGCTCATCCTTTTTTCTTTTCTCTGGCGTGCCTGCGAAATCCTGTCAGTGAAGGGCAGTCAATGCCGTCTGGCCCTAAGTGGTGCTGCCGGGACTGCCTCTGATGGTATTTAACAGAAAACGGCTCCCTTGGCAGTGTGAGCGCGTCCCTCGGAGTCTGCGGCTTCTCCTTCCCTCCCTTACTCGCGGACTCAGGTTTCTGGTATGGACCCGCGGCACAATTGCGGCCACTTCTTGCTTGGACGAGGAAATGTAATCCGAATTTCCAGAAAAAGGAAAGCAACGAGGAATGGGTTGCACCTCCCCTTACTTCTGTTTGCTTTTGGATTAGAAGACAACTTCTGGATTACCTTTCCTATGGTCAAATCTTTTGTGTGATTCAGACTAAATGCTTTGCTTTTGAAGAAATAGATTAGCAATTTCTTGATGGATAGGTTCTTGAATATGAAAGTTTCCTTTCGAACTTTGCTATCATTAGTGCTATTTAGAAAACAGAACCAACCTGAAAATTTAAATATACTCGGACTCTGGCTAGATGCGGTTCTTTGTGCTTATCTGTTAGCATCCTTCTCTTGGCTGTTTCTGTGGTCAAAAACGTAGAGATAATAAAGACAAGTCCAATAAAAGTATGGATAATAAAAACAAATATCATACAAATGCATCTGGTAAATCTCAATTCTGTCATTGGATAGGCAGATTTACTAATCCCATTAAACGGATGAAGAGAAAGGCTCAGAGTTAATGCATGGATTATGTAGTGGACAGGATGTGAGGGCAGGAACTGGGGCCAGGAGCCAGCAGTCCAGCTGGTTTGCATGGTCCCACTCTAAACCCCCCAAATAGGAGGAATGTATTTTTGGGATACCTTTATTTTTAGATGACTAGGCTTGAGAGTGAAGTAGCTTTATTACTCTTCATAGTTGTTATGTCTGTTTGTCTGAGAACAAAATACTTTTGTGTTTTGCTTAACAAAATTTTCATTAGTTTTCTTGAGACATTTATGTGGTTTTCATGGGAGTTGACCTATATGAAACATTTTCAAAAATAAAAATTTTGGGTCTGGGGTTGTAGCTTAGCAGTAGACCACTTGCCTTGCACGTGTGAGGCACTGAGTTTAAACCTCTGTACCACATAAAAATAAATAACTAAAGGCATTGCATCCATCTGGAACTAAAAAAAATGAAAAAAAGTGAAAATTCTGCAGGAATTTATAAAGAACTCAGGAACTTTTAAGTGATCTAAATTAAGAAATGAAGAATAGGGTGATTGGGTTAAAAATCTTTCAAACACCTGTAAGTAACCCAGTAAGGAGCCTTTCCGATGGTACATTTAAAAAAAAAATTCTTTAAGAACGTATTGCTGAGGAGCATAGTACTTTTACAAAACTCTATTATTATTCTGCCTGAGTAAGAGAGGAAATGAACACATTTTTAATGTACTTTGGAACCCTCTGGATTGTTCAGATACTAAGCATTGTGAAATAGGGCATAAAATGAGTGGTACCAAGTTAGTTCCGTGAAATGTTTGTCCATGTTAGCATTTTTTTTTTTTCCAGTGACTGGCAATTTCCTTTTTCTTAATACTTATCTCTAGTATTGGTAGTAGAATTCTGCATAAATTTTATCTTTTCCCTAGATGTCTAGATTGAGGCACACCCTCAAAGCTATTATGAGATTAAGAGGGAGGTGCTGGCAAATTCCTCTACTCATACTCATTTCTCCACCCCACCCCTCTTTTGGTGATGCTGGGGATTGACCAAGAGCTGGAGCATGCTAAGTAGTGCTTTGCCACTGTGCTACCCCTGTCTCCCAGACTTATCAAATTTGCTAAATTGTGACTTTTAGAGAATTAGTTATATAAAAGGTTGGGTTGTATCACTCAGATTCCACTGCTGCAGAGCTGTTCTCTTTTGAATGGTCATTTCCTCCTAAATGGCTCCACTTACAAGGTTGGGTTTCTCAAAGTCTGGGCTTCATATCTCTTCCATGTGCACTAACTTGGGAAAAATGAAGTTTTCTTTCACCTCAGCTCAGACAGCCAGAGATGGGGCTCTGGAATCAATATTTTCAGCAAGTTTTCCATGAACTTCTGAGCAGTAAAGTTGGAGAACAACTGGTATTGTGCTTCCTGTTTACTGAGTATCCCCTAGGACCAGTTCCTGAAGTAGATAACAAGTTTTTCAAGTGGCAGAATAAGTTTTATACCCTAGGCTGCTAATAAAAAGTCTATGACCTTAAAATGAGTAATTGTACTTTCATGTATGTTTCAGAAGGGCAGAGACCAGTTCACTCTGATATGCCTGGTGCCTGGAGGAACTCATTTAAATATTTGTTGAGTGAATGATTGAACTACATTGCAATGAGGCCAGTTTTTTACACTTTTACTTGTCAAATTAATTGCATCACTTAGCAGTCACTAATTTTTATAAATTAGGAACAACAAGAACTATATCCCAGTTATTTCTTTAACTTTAGTTAGTGTTGAAAGGAGATAGTCTCCTTGGCATGGAGTGTTCAAGGTGATATGCTAGGAAGAAGACTAAGCAAAATATTTATTTAGGTACTCAAAACATAAATTTAAGTTATAGTGGGGTGGTAAATCATTTATTATCATTATATTGCATTCCATTTTGTAAACCATGATAGTCCCAACTTCCTACTATAAAAATTAGTTTGCAGAAAATAGGTAATTGGTGTGTTTCTAACTTTCACACAATTAAAATATGACCTTTACACCCCTTTTTCAGAGTCTACCTTAGGATCCCATAAATAACAAGTGGTTATATAGTCGGGGTTGGAGAGTTCAGAGCACAAACTGTGGAGAATGTTGGATTTGATTACACATTCAGTGACTTTGATCAAGTCACATAACTTCTTCATGCCTCAGTTTTTTCAGCTGAAAATGAGAGTAGTAGTAAAATTTAAATACTACTAAGCACATACATAAATTCTTAAGACATATCCAGTGAATAAATGGTAGTTAACATTGGTCATAAAGAATTGGGTTATATGAAAATATATAAAATTTAAAAGCTAACCCATTTAATTTTTGCACTATTGTACCATATGGTAGTAATAGAAATTCATTGCTTTAAAATGAAATTCCTTGGGCTGGGGCTATATCTCAGTGATAGATCATTTGCCTAGCACTTTCAAGGCCCTGGGTTCGATTCTCAGTACCACATAAAAATAAATAAATAAAATGAAGGTATTGTGTCCAATTACAGCTAAAAAAAATATTTAAAAAAAGTGAAATCCCTTGCTGATTTCTAGGTACTAGACAGTAAAAAATTGGTACTTTAAAAAATTGGATTACTTAACTAGACATTAAATTCATTACCTCAGTATGTGTCTCATCTGATTTTTTTTTTTTTTGTATATTCATGTGGCTATTCATATACAACTTTTAGTAACCTATGGTTGTTTTCTAACCTGTCTTTATTTTTATAACATCTTAAAATGTCTTTCCATATCTGTGTTGTTAGTTACACAGTTTTACTAACTGAATAATATTCCATTTTATGGATCTATAAGAATTTAACCAATTTATTTTTATTAGACATTAGTTTCCACCCCTACCCCGCCCATTATCAGTAACTTTGCACTGATTAGGCTATATGCACACACAGATCTCTCTCTCTCTCTCTCTGTACTGGAGATTGAACCCAGGATCTCACACATGCTAGGCAAGCACTCTGCCACTGAGCTACATCCCCAGCCCTTACACGTCTCTGTATACCTTTGAGATTTTTTTTCCCTCAGATAGGTTTCTAGAAGTGGAATTGTTGGTTCAAAGGATATACTAAACCTTAAAAATTTTTGATACATATTTCCATCTGTCATTTAGAAAGGTTGTAGCAATTTACATTCTTGCAGTGGTATATGAATGTTCCAGTCTTCATCCTCTCCAAACCCCTTTTTGGAATGACTTAACCAGTACTACAAATCTAGTGAATATTTTCCTTTAGGAAGAAGAATGGCTTTTTAGTAGAGCCTGCTTGATAAGGGGATTTGGAAACTCAGAAAATTCATGTACCTGTAATAGTGA